TTTTTTATTGGTATTAGTTCATGGCTTCACAAGATCTTCATAGATCTCAAATTGATGGTTCGCAGTTACTTCAAACTGGGAAGTATTCTTTTCATCGTTTTTTGTCGGCGGGCGAGGGGTATAATGACATTGTTCTCCATCTATGAAAGCTCTTTGTGGCATTTCATTGTTCATGTCATTATAATCCAACGGTTCTTTTCAGAGGGCGTCAGAAAACAATGATTCTATATCGATGTCCTATATTTCCTACCAATTCATGGTGATCTTCTTCTCTATGCTTGGGCCTGCTATTATTTTCACCATGCTTGTGTTTGCACAGGTTAGAAAATCAATAATATTTTTGCTTTTTTCATTTCCAGTTTCAGGGACCGACTCACTATCAACTCTAATGGCTGAAAAATTGGGATCTACCACAAGGGCAGGTCTTACGCTGGGAATCTCTAGTGGGGGTCGTACAAGAGGGGAAGGGGAGATTCGGGAAGGGAGCGTATTTTCGAGGAATTTCTAACGCGGGATGTGACCCGGTTACAGCGCTCTGTGGCCGTACTGAGCGTTGTATCTCGATCACAGCTGGGTGTACTGTTTCCTCTTGCATACGCGGCTGCGATCAGTCTTTGCTTACTGGTTTAGGAACCACGCAATGATTAAGGATTCGGAAAAAAAACAAGTCCTACTTTAGACTTCACTCAGTCTTTGGTGACGTAGCCTGGGCGCCCGAAAAAACCCTTTAATATATCATACAAGAGTTAATGTTACTGAAGATAACCATTCTAGCCCTTCTCCTTGAATCAGCATTTCATGGCTTTACTCCCATTTCCCCGTTCTGAGTGCATATCGTTGGCAAGCTACTGTCGCTTCCTGTAGTATTTCCCTTCCTTGAAGAAATGGTTTTGAAAAGGACTATGGCGATCAGAAATTTCTGGCTTCGGTTGCTTGCCCTAGCTATTACAGTATTACATTCAATCTTATAGCCGGTTTTCTGAAGCCCTTCGACCAAGGTGGTATATGTGAGCTGTGTGCCACCAATATTGTCCATTCTTACCGGGATGACAAAAGCGGATGCCTCCATGCGGGATCGAACCACAGACCTTCTGTTTACAAGACAGACGCTCTGCCACTGAGCTATGGAGGCTTGGATGGTAGTTAAAATGAGCCGCCTTTATGGACAGCTGAAATAACAAAGGATGCGGTGGACCTCGGCGAAGCTTACGGGCACTGCCGGCGGATCCGTCCGTAAATGCGACCACATCGGAGATTTCCGGCTCCTTTGGATGAATTCCAGCTATTGCCGTGCAGAAGTGACTGTCAGGCAACTGTGCTGGTAAACTTAGAATTCAAGATCTTCTAGTCCAGTTGTAACCAAGATAATTTGCTTTTGAATTTTGCGCTTGTGGACTAACGAGTAGTAACTGTAGCTGTAAATCGGAACAAGGAAACTTAATAAAAGTTAATAAAACATGGTCTGCCTCTCATCTTCAAAAACTCGGCCCAATGTGTGTACAGCCTTTGTAGTTTATGGCGTGAGTGTGAGAGAGGGACGCTGTTGTTTGCTCTGCTCTCTAGATTTTCGTTATTTTCAAGGTTTGACTTTAATTATATCATACGATTTCCATTTTTTTATATGCGCTTATTTTTCATCAATTATTGAAAGTAAAAATGGCATAGGTGGCTGCGTTTGGTGTGGACTCAGCGAGAGTGATGTTGTACAACGGTATTCCAATCAGTTTGTTCATCGTTGTGTGCTTTACTACGGAGTCCAATGTGCAGCTACTGTACGCTAAGGTAAGTCGAGTAATATCGTCTCCATTGATTTTACATTTGAAAAGCTCTCTTTGGTCCTCTTATTGATTGATTGATTTGTCTTATTCTGTTTCTTTTGTATTCCCTTTTTCGTTTCAGTTGATGTCGATCATCTACGCGTTTGTAATGCTTGCAGTTTTGGTTGCGACGTCCTCGCAGATAGTATTGGAAAGTGAGCAAGTTCAAGTCGGGTTTAGTACTGAAGCTGAAAATCACAAAAGTGTTTTGATGGTGAAATTCCCCTAGAAGGGCAAGAGGGATAGTGGGGGGGTTTCCCCCCCCCCCAACCCAATGACGAAAAGTGGTGCGGTCACCACACGGATCCAACGCTGATCCTGAGATGCAAATCCACTGGGTCGACATCCCGCTAAAGAGCCTAAACCAAAACTTCTACCCCTCGGCGACGGGCCAATTGTTACCAGATTCGTCTGGGAGGATAAAACACTGACTTGTACATCGGCTGGCCACCGCAAGTCATTGTATAGGCCACATCGCATTCAATAAGCCACTACGATTCTGAATGGAAGTAGAATGCGTGCCGCATCCCACAAAGGGATTGATCAACGGCGAAGACTTTATCCTTTATCTTTAATCCCTTGAAGAGAAACTGTACACTCACATTCCATGATTCTGGCCCTTACCATGTGCGAGATGAATTGGTTCGCAGCTGTAGTAGCGGGCCACATTCTCCGCTCAAATATGCACGAAAGCGGTAGGTAGCGGTACTCGGAAGTCGTCTACGATTCCGCCCGCGCTCCTGTCAGTAACACACGTGACCGTAGCCAAACACGCTATCTGTCTGCGTCCTCTCACTTCTAGTTGTTCTCTACTGTGTGCTTCGCTGTGGAATTTGGGTATCAGCGCAAGTGCCGCACGTTGAGGAAAGCCGGGCGGATTTGGATGACGGCGCCTCGGAATCACTACCCTTCAGTCCGTTCCCGTGCACTTTTGTGCGAAGAAAATGGCACAGTATTGCACTTGCGTAGCCATTCGCCTCGCCCATGGCAATTACCATCCTCGCAGTTGAGGGGTGTCAGCGCTATTACGCGTGCAGTGAGGCGGTTTTGCGCGAGGTCGATGTGAACCGTGTTCAGAGTGACGAATCCTTCCGGGAGACGATTTTGTGAACAAGGACTCCTCGTGCAAATACGGTGGAAATCTCGCCTTTGTCCCAAAAGAGGGGCAGTGAGTAGTGCGCGGGCATCTGTTTGGCTGACTCAGCATGGATGTCTGTTCAATTTACAGTTCCTTTTAGAATTGAGCTCTTTCTCTACAATGGGTTTATTTGTTTCAGCTGTGATCTCTCCAACATCGATGTTCATTGTCGCAATGGTTCTGATATTCTTCATCGCTGCCTGCTTGCATCCGAAGGAGTTCACAAACATTATCTACGGTAAAACCCATAAGGAGTTTGATTTTCCCAGAGTATCAGAATAATTTTTTAAAGGTATCGTATTCTTCCTAATGATTCCATCAACATATGTCTTCTTGACGCTATACTCACTTATAAATCTGAATGTCATTAACTGGGGAACACGTGAGGCTGTCGCAAAGGCAACAGGAAAGGTGAGTGGGTTTGGAACTTTGTTAAATATTTTATTATGTCCCTTGTTTTTCTTATGACAATTATTTTTCAAGGTTGAGA